CTAAGATATTAATCCCATATCATACTTTTTTCTTGCAGGTTTCACATGTTAAGAAAAGATATTAAGTCATTGAAAGCACTGTTTGAGAACACAGTTATCCCAACAAGTATTCCATCTGTTTTTGGTGTTGAAAGCTGCGAAAATGTGTGGGGCCTAAAGGACATGGTACGCGTCATCAACCCAATGGCATTGAAGGCATATGATTGGATAATTTCTAATCACATGCCACAAAAGATCCATTTTGCAAATGATCAACATGATTTCAATGTAAGTTTATTCGATCTTATCAAGTTAGTGAAATATATCCGTATGTCTTCAAATTTCCGTAGTAAATGAAAAATTTCTGTAGCACCAAATAATTTGCCTTGACTGCAAGATGGGTTGCTCAAATGTGCAGGTACATTATAGTAACAGCTATGGAATTTCAAGCAAATTGGACAGAATGAAGATTTATGGGTCACTTTTCCTGGGTTTTAAATAATTTATCTGTAATCTGACTTGTCTGAGTGGTCTAGGGTCCTTAGGGACAATGTAGCTATTAATGTCGTGATGAAAAAAATCATTGTCCTGGATGTCAGACAATGTGTCACCAACGGGGAGGGGGAGGTGGCAATGTACCCCCAACACGAGTGAAATGGTTATGATCGGGCGTCACTCAAAATGTTTAGAAAGTGGTCCCGAAAAATATGACAATTTAGGGGTTTCAAAGGCTTATTTAATTGATTTTATAGATAGAGTCTACTAATATTTAGAAAATACAAATTGTGGTTTTCTCTCTTGGGGGGAGGGGGAAGCTCTAAAAATTTGCAGACATAAACCAATTCGTCAAGGTTGCTTTACTCTTTCGTATATTAGGTGTCCACCATTATTATTATTGTTGTTTTTGCTACTGCCATTGTTGTTGTTCTTGTGTTACTATAATGATAACCCTTTTGATGTTGGTTCAAAGTGTACTTACTTTTACTCATCATTTATTTTTTTTTATTCATCCAAGGGTCAAGTTTTGATTGCATTGGTTTCACCGTGCATATTTCAAGGCACTTTTCACAAAGACGTTGCATCATTCACTGTACGACTTCACTACATCCTCTATGGAAGAAACCCTTCAATGGTAAAATGTTACAGTTGCAATGAAGTATAATACAGATGATAATATTTAAGTAAAATGTATGTCCTCATTGGGATTCAAAAACAAAACCTTCTGATTACTGTACTGGTCAATTATTTTTACCCAAGATTCATGTAAAGATAGGCAGTATACTAAAGATTTTATAAAGATGTTGGTTGTTACTGAAGTTTGAGAAATTATTTCATAGTAATTAAAAAAATATGATTTTGCTGAGGAAAAGAATGAGGAGTGGAGTTGAATAGCTTAGTGGTTAAGATGCTTGCTTTCCAATCCCAGGGTCCTGTGATCAGTTCCTGTCAGAATTTCATCTCACAGCCCAAAAAAAAAACCCCACTAACTTATGCCTCTTATGTACAGCATCTTGTGTGTATGTTTGTCTCGAGAGGAGATTGCCACGTTGAAGAGTGATTAAGTTGACATATCCTTGGCCCTAGTGCCTAAAGCTGAATAAACAAATAAACATGATTTACAATAATTAATTAATCAGTAGCATTCTATTTTCAAGGCACCATTCCTGTCATTGCCCATAGCATGACTGTTTTGTTTTAAGAATGATGTTCAGTATTTAAAGAATTGTTTCACCAAGATGTCAGCATGTTTCTTTTTTGTCTGTTCCAATCTTAGAGCATCAAAATATTTGGTAATCAAATTGTTCAACAAGTCAACACACTTACATCTCCTGATTCACCACATGTTCTCCTTAGTAAGTTCAATAAATATCATTTCACTTTTTATTTTATTAATATAACAGGAGGTGGTTTCAGAATTTGAAAAATAAGTGGCGGGGGTGTGGGGGGAGGAAGACAAATTTTTTGATTTAGGAATATATTTGTGTACAGTTTTAGTCCAAGAAAATGGGGGCAATAGTGGCCATGAACAAGTGAATAGGAAACTAAATGATAATGATTCTGTTACTATTAGTAATCAATTTGCCACTTTAAAATGTCAAAACAAGTAATATGGACTAAGACATGCCCACCAACCTCTGCCCCCACCTTCTGAATCATCCATTACACACTCTCAACAATTTTTATTTTATTAATATAACAGGAGGTGGTTTCAGAATTTGAAAAATAAGTGGCGGGGGTGTGGGGGGAGGAAGACAAATTTTTTGATTTAGGAATATATTTGTGTACAGTTTTAGTCCAAGAAAATGGGGGAAATAGTGGCCATGAACAAGTAAATAGGAAACTAAATGATAATGATTCTGTTACTATTAGTAGTCAATTTGCCATTTTAAAATGTCAAAACAAGTGATATGGACTAAGACATGCCCACCAACCTCTGCCCCCACCTTCTGAATCATCCATTACACACTCTCAACAACAGAGAAATTTAAAGATGTTTTCTTGTTGATATTTCATAAGCTGTAACTATGGTGTCCCCCAAGGGTTCAGGTGTAAGCAAATGGAACTTTCAGCTTATAAATAACAAACAGGAGAAATTCCGCAGTGCCCTATTGGATACCATCACGGCCAAGAATTTGGTTACTCTAGAGGTACTCAAGTTTTATTTAAAATTTAATTCATTTCATCAAATACAATGTACATTAAAATCTTTATTGTTCATAGAAACATACAACAGGAACATACTATATTAAATGACAAATTACAAGTTGTATTATTGAAAACAAAAAAAATGAGATAATTGCTTTGACTACAAATTATATGCAACAACAGCCAATATTTTATATGATAAATATTTCATATTTATTTACAGGGAGTTTTTCTTGTGGACCCTAACAAAAGAATTTATAAGCGAGGAAGAATGGAGTTTAATTTTCATTTTGTTGAATCAACAAATAATGGAAGAGAACGGTGTGTGTATGGATTTTATAGGTTTATATATGTAGTACTATAAGGTAAAGGTAGGAGAATAACCCATAACTTGCAGCGTCATTGTGCTGAATTGCGTATGGTCGTGGTACGTGGCTACCTAGCAGCCGTAAAGAGGCGCTTCTTAGTAGATACATGTTCACATCATTCCACAACAACAGGGGCTGAAATGAACCATAACATCGGGGTAACCCCCTACTCTTCCGAAAGATGCAATGGATTCTTTAAAGTGCACATGAGCCAGATGTACAGTATACACTGGACCTCCATTTTAAGTCCTTATCCGAGCAGACTTGGTTCTACCAACCAAACCATGGGCGAGGAGCGGCTGGAACCAGCGCCGCTACTAAGGCTGTAGCTAGCTGCGCCCCTGCCTTACCGCTCGGCCACTCGACCTAGGACATTTGTGCTGGCAGCTTCTTTCCAAAGTGAACCATATTCAGACCTGTAACCAGGGTATTCCTTAGATGGCGAGGTGGGTATGAGAGGTGCCAGAGGTCCAAAATGGCTACTCCCTTTGGTGGGGTCATGGAGAAAAACATTTGTTGGCAGGTGGGGGTAGCTTAAGTATTTTAGGATGTTATTTGAATTTCATTATCATTTTGATGGTGTTGCAAAAAGAGGAGGTGGTTTGATTTATCTTAAAATGGGGGGCTAGCTTAAAAAGGGGATTTGGCTGAATCATACAAGTGCTTCCCAATATAAGCCTGACGTTCTTTAATGTACGCATGTAAAGTATGTTGTACACAGGCTGTCCATGGTACAGTGAACACACATTTAACCAACAACATTAACAGTACTCTGGTGCTCTCTTTAACTTTCTGTTTTGAACACTTTCATGGACTTTTCAGACTACAAAGCTATGAATCTTATCCATATAAAACCCTGTTTGAGGGCATGTTCTGGAAGAGGACTCATGCAGAGGCTTACTATTCCTTGTTTAACAATCCTGAGATGGAATCAGCCAGTGAAACGTCCGTCAGGTCATCAGAAAAGTCATCGGTGAAGAAGAAGAAACCTGAAGCAGCTAGTACGACAACATTAAAAAAGACAGTCGGAATAACTGCTAATATGAAGGAGGCTTTTAAGTAAGTAAATGTAGTGTTTTATTATGAGGTGCATTAAATATGGATTTCAGGGGTTCCAAATTGGAAAAAGTCATTTTTGGGAGATCTGTTTTAAACAATCTTTCTTTAAGCACATCTAATTTTGTTTTGCTGCTTATGGTGTTTATACCAATCAACACTGATATCAACAAATAATAATAAAGGAGTAATACAGTAGTAAAAACATGTAGATTTAATAACTTTGCAGGAGATGGGTTATTTTCTCTGAATTCTTTTCCAGTCCTTGTTAAATAGTAATGCACTCGTGAATTATACATTTTTCAGGGCTTTTATAATAGTTTTAATTAAAATTTTTTTGTTACTGTCAAAAACATTACAGGCAAAAGCAAAAACAACAAGTAGCAATGTTGTATGATGTACCAGATGCATACGAAATCAGCCAGCATGTCTTGCTCTTCAGCCTTATTGACAGGTAAATACATTTAATAGAGAATGATAAAGGCAATGATGCCATTATTTATGATGATGGTGGTGGTGGTGGTGTTGATGAAGACCATGATAAAAATGGAGAAGATGCCGAAGATGGCAGGGATGAGGATGATAAAGATCATGATGAGGATGATGAAGATAATGATGAGGTTGATAATGATGATGATGTTGAGGAGGTTGGTAAGGATGATGATGTTGATGATAATGAGGATAATTGGTGATGATGATTATGATGAGGATTGTGATGATATGAGGATGATGAAGATAATGATGAAGTTGATGAGGATGATGATAAGAATGATAGATGATGATAAGGATTATTATTATTTATGATGATGATTATGAAGTTGATGACAAGGGTGAAGATGGAGATGATGATGAGGTGACAATGACATGGGGAAATTATAGTACTGTAAGAATGAAATAGAGAATAATTTACTGGTCAGTTGAATAATTAATTTGATGATAATGATTTCTAGGGGCAAGTTGAATGTTGATATCTTAGTGGAGCTGTGTCAATTACACCAAAGTACTTCGGCTCAACTTCTCACTTGCATTCAATACAATGATACCATCCAAGATATAATCAACTCAGCGTCTGGACTAAGCAACGTGAGTTCCACAGATCCTTTACCATCTATCCACTGGTGCAGGCGGGGGCGGTTTGGTTTCCCAACCTCGAGGTCGGGGAGTCAAATTCTTGCTGTGCATTTCGCTTGTGTCCTTGAGCAAGGCACTTTATCTGCATTGCTTCTCTCCACCCAGGAGTATAAGTGGGTACCTGGTAGGGTTAAATGCCAAATGCGCTAAATAGCTTCTGCGCCGTTATGGAATACTGCCCTGAGGAGCTGAGGTTGTGTTTCATAGGTGTTTAATCCAATGACTGGGGTAATGATAATGTGAATTGTGCATAGGGGTCTTTTCATAATGCGCTATTGAAGTCTACCATTATTATTATTATTATTATTATCGTTGTTTATATCAGAGATTTTTTTTTATGTGATGCATTTGTTTTTAATTTTTTTTACAGTTTTGCAAGATCATCTGATGTGCAGACAAGTCACAAGATCATTTCCATGGCAACAAATAAATGCAATCAGTTACTTGGTGAAGAGAAATTCCTGCCTAAACCAGTATGTAGGCCTATAACAATTTGTGTGATATTGCTTGCATCTGGTAGGCATCTTGTACAGGGACATTATTTTCCCCTTTTTGCCTACTAGACTCTACTTTTGAGCGAAATAAAATTATGTTACTGTATTTTGTTATGTTGTAAAATCATATGCTGTAGTATAGAAGACATTGTATGTACTGTAAAGGCAAAAGAATAATTTAACGTATATTAACGCATCATGATAAGGACTCATATATAATGTCCTGGTGACTGGCTAAAAAGAAAAAAAAATTCTTGCCTTATAGTAAATATAAAGAAAGATTTGATAGTGTTAGTCAAGTACAGTATATTAATTGTTTTGCATTTTTTCTTTAGTTTTTAGAATTGTTAGTACAGATGAATTCTCATTGTACTGTTCTCCTATATCAACTTACTGAAGATGCTTTGGCCCTCTGTCCAAAGTTAAAGGTAAATCTAGTGTACACACTTTTCTTTGTTTATACAGTATATATAAAACACATCAGTAAAACTGAAACTTATTTCATTATTAATAGGCTTAACATAAGTATATACTGCATATATGAATTTATATATTATCATTTTATTTTACAAATTTATATTAAACAATATCAAGATTCAAGGTTGCTTTATTATCATCAACCAAACATGTGATAAATGAAATTCATTTTGCTTGCTGGAAGCAATAAAAGGTTTATTCAATATTTTAAACATCGGAAAAAACTCCCCAAAAAAATCAAACGGATATAATACAATAATAATGTACATATCTAGTAAAGTTTTTATCTGAATAATCTATTATTAAATTCATGGATATATTAAAGTATCTCATAATCGTATTTTTGTGATTAGGAATATGATTTATTAATGTCAGAAAATATGATTATATTCTAAAATTGTTCATCATTTTAGGAAGCATTTGATCATTGTAGAGAAATATTCCCTGATGATGTACCTAGACCTGAAACTAGAGCTGCACAAAACAAAGAGGAATTAACAAAGAAAAAGGTAAGAACATGTGTTTTAAAGAAAATTATCTATAGAACTTCTACAATGGAAGTGTAAACAAGGAAGCTATGGATGCCAGTTCCTAGTTCATCACATGTGTGATTTATACAGTACAGTCTAAGCAGATTGGTTACAAATTGTTATGGCGAATAGGTACAATTTAAACATAGGTATTGTTTTATTGACGTAGTAGTTGGTACTAATAATGGTTAGCGTGATTGAAGGTTGACTTAATGATTGATGTAATATCTCCTTATTTGATGCTTATCTCTAAAATAATAACATAACATAAAATTGTATAATATAACATCATAACTCTCAAATACATTAGAAAAACTGTTAGAATAAAGTTGCAACCACAATCACAGGGCAGCAGAGTAATTTTGCTGAATGGTATCGATACATAGTGAAAGCACACTGGCACTGCTACATCACTAATAAGTGGACGTGGTCTAGGCCTAACTTTTAACCGGTTGGTATACTGGCTGAACATCATATCGTTACACCACAGTACAATTGGGTGATTTTAAGGATAATGATTAAACTTCAGCTTACGATTGTTTGGACAGTAATTAATTAAAGAAACAATTATGTACATCATGTACGCATCAATTTGGTGATCGTTCTTCACGACGTGAGAATGCACCTTAACTAAAATAGAACTTAGCACAATTCGTTACAGGAAGACTTAATATTGGAATGGTTCTTTCATCCAGTTGTCTTCATTATTTCTATTCATAAGCATGTAAAAATATTTGGTTGAGATTTTTTCATCAGAAGATTGATAATAAATTATGTGCTTGTACTGTAGTTTCAGTAAGTCAACTTAGGATATGCCATACCTCTAGCTTTAGGCAATAACTAATTCTGCGTTAGCTTTTGAACTTAAAATATATTTTACCTTTTATTAGTCAAAGAAACTTCTTGTAGCAACAGAGGAAATATTTAGCCATGGGACTCAAGTCAAAGACATTAATCGTCAAGAAAACATGGGTAAGTTTAATCTTGTTTATTGAAGAATGAATATAATAATAATAATGTCTTGAAAAAGGTTCAAAGGTTAAACACTATTACAATAATATATATATATTTTTATAATTGTTTAGTGTATTATCCAGGTAAAGTCCAAAATCCTGTTTAGCTTGTGTTTTGTGGATGCAATTATTTATGCATTTATTTGTTTTTGTAGTTATTTATCATTTTATATGATTAAAACATAATACTGCCAAAAAATACACTGTTAAATTAGTATTTACTATTTATTATCATCATTTCTATAAACTTATCAATTTCTAATCATAGTATTCAGGGCATCAAGTTAATAAAACTGAAAATGCACAATAATGACTGTTGGAATGACAGATTCTTTGATCGAATGATTTGTTGATGCATTTGTTGGCAACAAGCCAGTCATATATTCTCCATACTATACTATATGTTATGTTTTCAGTCATCAACGTTGAAGAAGTAATTGAATCCAGTAACAGGCCAAAGGTCATGGCAATAGAGGGTACTCTTATGCAGGTAATCACTATTTGTTTGTGTCTACTGCCCCCTCGTGGCGGCATAGTACACTATAGGAAAATTATTATACGAAGGTTAGCCTGAGTGCCTGTCATCGGTTGCTATAGTGATATGATCAGTCTGTACACGTATGTACACTTCTAGCTGTGCGTATGCTGATTTGTGCTCCTGCAGTACGCGTTAACTAGACATCAGCAGTACAGTAGAGATACGATGAATAACTATTGTAATTTGTATTATATTAGAAGAACTTGTTTGTAATGCTATTTTGATAGACATTCGTCAAAGAAATAAACATTTCGAGAGAGAAGCCGAAGCTCTGGAATTCACTAGCACAATCTGTTCAAGAGTCTGCTAATTTCATGAATTTTGATTGTTGTCTTAAATTCTTATTTGACAATCTCTTAATTTTCCTACACTCTCTTGCTTTGTTTTCTTTTCACTTCCCTTTGTGTTGCTTTTCTTTTCTACCACTTTCTTTTTCGTTTTAACCATTTATTCTGGTTTTTTTTTCTTCTGTATTCCTGGGAAGCGCATAGAGACCAGTGTTATATGCGCTATACAAGTGCACAACTATTAATTATCCATATTAGAGATTATGTTGAAGAAAGTGACACAAATAGGCCTTGAAGTTGACCAATTTTTAGCAATGTGTAAAGACACTTTGTCTATGAAGAATGAGTGGATACATATTAAGCCTAAATGCCAATTTACTGATTTAATAGGTATTGTTTTTAGATGTATACAAAGTATGGTTGAATACAAATTGTGTAAAATTATACTTAATAGCTGATTATATAAATATTTTTATTTTTATAGTACTTAATTGATACCAAATTGGATGAGGTGTGGAATTTGTTTTTGAATGGTCTTCTGTTTAGCGATCATCTACCCCCAAATCCTTACCCGAAGCTGGTCACACTATTCAGACAGGCTGCATTAAGGTATGCTAGTATTTTGTTCTCTTTAATCTCATCCACTAAAGCTCTGTCCAGACTATCAAATTTTATTTGAAAAATTAAACATGTGACATGCCTAAATATGGTCATGATGACATCACATCATGACCATATATAGGCGCATCATGACTATATATAGGCACATCATGACTATATTTAGGCATACCAATAGTGTTTTTTTGATATTGTGAATAGAGCTTAAGCATATGGATTATATTATTTTCTTCATCATATAATATGGTAAATTGTTAGTATGCTGTGACCTTTGACATATCCTTATGCCAGAAATAGTGACATGCCAAATTGTTGCTAAGTTTAGTTATTATAAATCTCATCATTTTCATTATAATTATTACTGTTTTTATTATTATTATTAATATTACGATTATTATCATACATAGTATTAATGTTATTTTTGCTATTTGTCTTTCATTTGAATGAAGAATGAGGTTCAATGTAGAAAGTGATGAGAAAGTGATAAAACGTTTCCTAAACCAGAATGCCAAAGTTCACAATCAGAAAAACTTCATATACACAGTTGCAGGTAGCAATATGTTTGGCCATGTTAGCGCCTTCAGTGTACTGGATACAACAACGTTGAACAAAGCTCGGCTTGTTGCTCAAATGTTTGCACGGCAGGAATATATACAACGCAGGGGACAGCTTCAGGTACATTGTCACTTATTTTGAATACTATAAAAAGCAACAATAGATGATAGTTGATAATAATAATGACAATAATAGTGAATTTTTTAGGTATAATTGTCATTTATTTTGAATAATATAAATAACCATAATAGATGATAAATGATGTTGACGACTCTCTTGGCTTTCTAGTCATGACCCTTCCCCACGCACAGACTGTGTGAATACTGGCTTTTGTATTAGCCTTTTCACAATTAGTCTCAGTTATTGTTAAGTGTTCCAATCAGCAGCAAGCCTCACTATCCAATCACACAAGATTCTCTGCAGATATTATTCTACTGAAGATGATTGAAGCAACTCAATCGGAATGTCAAGACGTTCTTTTCAAAACTATCTATGTGATGTACTGCAAGCATTTAATATAGTTTTCAGATAAAGTTTATCAGTTATTTTTCCTCAGATTTCCTTGAGTCTGGCTATGACTAAGACGAGTTCTTTCTATGGATTGATGATGCCGTATTTGAACATCCTGTACTTGAGTGAGTTCTGTTACATTCGAGGCCCGATGGGCAGTAATCGTGAAAGCATTCTGTTGTACACCAAGATGAGTAAGTTGTTATTGATTCACTGTAGTACTAGATCTCATCAATATTGATTCGGCAGATTTTACAATTTTATCTCTGTCTAATTTATATTAAACTATATATTCTAGAGTATTTTCATCCCTTACTTTGAGAATTTCTTGTTACTCCTTGCTTTGAAATTTTTGTGTTCATTAAAGTTCTAGACGATGTACAACATATTAGTGGTAAGCAGAACGTTATAGTGACCGGATTACATGTGAATCAGTCAGAGTTCACATTGGAAGACATTGTAAAGAATCCTGACTTCTTTCATACAAAGTTATCAAGTGCCATTGAGAACAAAGAAGTTATCTTTTTACAGGTAAAAGAAGTCATTAAACTTGTTTGTATAATATCTCATATATTTGAAAAAAACGTCCCGCTTTGAGTAAATGCCCCTCCAGGGCCTCGTTTGGAATGAAAAACCTGCTACGAATGAACTCCCTGGGCCGTTTATTTTTCCTCAAATAAACGCAAACAAAACTACTGAAAGCAACATCCTTCTCAACACATTCTATTAATGTTCTACTCCAGGAGAATTACATTTTTTATAACCTGATTGGGATCAATAAGTCTTCATGATCGTACAGTAACACATTTTGACAGTCATTATGTATTGTATTTCCACATTTGCAGTGAAATTAAGGGGAATTATTTGAGTATAATACGTACCCATTTTACACTAAAAAAAATAAACGCCTCCCTCGAATATACACCCCCTCAAAAACCCTTCTCAACAATAACAAACACCCTGGCTGTTTATTTGATTAAATACGGTAATTATTTAATACACTTTTTATAGTTTGTGTTTTTCCTCCCCTGGGATCCAACCGAAACCTGGGAGGATGTTCGCACATTTGTGAATTGCATATAAATGAAATCATCAGGGAATTGAAACATCATGAGCACTGCTTCTCTTTTTTCAGATACCGGATATATTATTTATTATATTTATAATTTCACATAAATAAATATAATGAAATGACTTATACATTGTATTTTCAGATTTACAAGGCTTTGGGTTGGAGGATCATGTCAATCCAAAAACAATATTGCTTATTTTACATCTACGTTGAGGGTACCATTGACAGGTGGGTGGCTGGAATTATGTAGGCATGTAGCTTGGTTTTTGAAACTCACTTTTAATTTGTGTGTAAGAAAATTATGACATTTACTGTATACATGCATGGAGGATACTTGGATTTGATACTTATTTTTATGTAGTGCTGTGTGTAAGAAGCTTATGGCAGATGGGTTACTTAAACATTACGTGTGAGTGTTGCATTTAAGAATGTTATGAAAGTGGTTGACATATTGATTACAGGGTTCAGGCTATACACAGTAAGGTTTGGGTTTGTGTCCGACACTTTACATTCACTTGTATCATTGAGCAAGTAATTTTGTTTTCCTCTCTTCATTCACACCAGCCTGTGAAAACTAACTCGTGTACTCAGCACATAGGCCTCAGTGGCGTATCTAGGGGCTGCATCCCTCTCTCCATTGAAAATGTCTGAAGCCAACCCCCTCACCCATCACTTTTGTCACCCCCTCCCATCAGATCCCTCATTTCACTGCTTACTCTGCAGGCAGGAAATCCAATCACACTGCAGTTCATATTTGGAATAGACTTTAGTTTATTATTTATATCTACAGATTATTGATTGCTTGTATTCTTGTTTGCTTTTAGGCAGGAGGTATATTTCCCTCAGATGCCACACTCCTTGTATTGCAATATATTTCTCAGTCCAAGTGAGGTGAGAATATGATTGTGAATTTAAGAATAGCAAGGCAGGGTTATGAATTTAGCCGTGACATGGTGGGCTGAACATTAATTACTAACAGGGCAGGCATGGGCAGATATAATAGCAATGACATAGGGGGAGGGGGGCTGAACATTCATCACTAACAGGGCAGGCATGGGCAGGTGGGGAGAGGGGCTGAACATTCATCACTAACAGGGCAGGCATACACATTTTGTAGTGACTATGACATGATGGGCTAACATCCATCAAAATAGGGTAGGCATACCAATTAAGTAGTGACAATGATATGATGGGCTAAACATTCATCACTAACAGTGCAGGCATATAAATGTTGTAGTGACAATGACATGATGGGCTAAAAATCCACCAAAACAGGGCCGGCATACCAATTTGGTAATGACGATGACATGTTGGGCTTTTTTCTTTTTATCTAATTTGTACACAGAACTAATATGGAAAAGCATATGAATGTTATTTTCAATTTTATTTATTTCTTTTTTATACTGGGTTTCCTCTTCAGTAAAATGCTGCTGTTTTCCTAGAATGCCCAGTACACATAAAACAGTCTAAAATAATTTGAATAACAACACAAAATATAAAAAACCCCATTAAAATAGAAGAATAATTATAATTATATTTGTTTTATTCTTAGGCATGCAACCATTATGCACAACTTTCATCTGGATCAAATCCTTTTAAACCATCTAAAATTCAAGCAGTTAGCACCTCACTGAAGCAGCAGATTCTCCAAAGCTTGACAGGCAACAACTTATTGGAAGCTTATCAATTGATGTTAATCAAATCTGTAATAGAGAAGGTGAGACAATCTATATTCGAAACCTATTATTCTAATACCCAATTCACATGACAGAAAATTCACTAAATATTAACAGAAATATCTATCCATATAATTACCTGCTGAGATCCGTTGCATTCACACTTCACAACTAAATACAAACCTTGCTAAAATTATACAGGCCAACTCGTACACATGCCAACTCATACTAACAACTCGTACCTAAATTTTGGCTGGCTCCTACTCATAGCTGGCTAGCCTGTACCCAAGTTTAGTGTAAGATATACCTTTATATTTCAAACATTATCTATTTTTATAGTAATCATGTTACAATATTGTTAAAAACATACTAATTAGAAGATTCTTGATACAGCAGGAATGAAATTTATAAACTATAACGAGGCAGGCGCTATTATACAGTAATAGTGAGTAGCTGAAGCAGCTATCAAAGCTGAAACATCCACAAAGTTTAGTGTAATTCGTGCAAAGCTTGTTTTGGTAAACAAATGTAGTACAGTATATAGCCTAGTAAGCAATATTCAATATTAGATTTGTTATTACGCCAAAGTAAAGGTAAGAATAGACATGGGTATGAGTTAGACAATGTTGGGCACGAGTTCACCTAAATTTATGTACGTGTTTGCCAAAGTGGGTACGAGTTTGCATGAGTTAGCTGACACCCGTCAGTACAATTAATGTGCAGACGAACAAGGTAAAAGGTAAGTGAAAGGTAAGCTCGCCCTGTTACCTTGAGCACAGATCCTTGCTAAACATCTCAGAAAGTTTACAGGTTTCTTTGAGGTTTGTTTTTATTTTACTGAGATATAAAAAGAGATATTATTTGGTGTTATTACAAATATCCTTTCTAGTGAAAATACCCTTGTTAAAATTTGTTAATATTTATGTATGCAACAGGAAAACAAAACACAAATTAACTGTCATACATTCAAGGAATTTTCCCAATTTAAAGAATTACGATCTGAAGGCATTATAGAAATAACTGCATACAGACAGGAATGGAAAAAGCTAGGGGTCGTCTGCACAGCAGTTGAATGATGATGATGATGACGACTATTTAGAGCTTTTTTGTTGTGTGAATGAGGTGAAGTTACTCATTACATTAATATGTAAATAAACAATTTTTTCTTCACCTGCCATTTCAGAAAACTGACTGCCTAGCAGATATCTGGCACATGTTCCATTGCCAAGGTCCAGCTTTGGAGTACCTCAGACACTTGAATATTGCCATGCAAGAGCTAGTGAAACACGCCCTCAAAGTGATACAGGCTAGGGGTGCCAGAACTGCAGACGTCATCAACAAAGATGAGGTAATTATAGTAGTTTGATATTGGACCTATCTTAATATCATTTCAACTACCATAGGCTAATATTTCAGGCCTATAATACTATAACAAGAATGTTACTTCACCATTAGCCAATCAGCTCCATCAAACCAATGTATTTGTTCCCTAAATCTGGGAGATCTGGTTAAATTAGCTTTGCTAACATATTTCATTTTATTTTGCTGCCCATGGTGAAACCCTGAGGCACCAACTTCATTGAACCAAATGATAATCAAGTAGTAAAATCATACAAATAATTATGAATTTTCAAGAGATGAGTTATTTTCTGTGAGATTATTGCTTGCTTGCCGGAGTGTGAGAGGCAGCCCCGATTTCCGTGAAACTCCCGTGACTTCCAAAAGTCTTGGGACCCTATTGAAGTTATACACTATAATCTATTTAGTACATGATGAAATTGTGAAAATCCTAGATTTCCTATCCACAACAGATGTTAACTACACAATTTTTTTTTCAAATCAAGCATGGGTTTGATGGCAAGTCTTTGGGGAAGATGATGAAAGCTTACCAGCAGAAACTAGAGAGTGTTCTGGACAACAGCTGCACTTTTGCCCCTCAAAGCCTCTGGCTTGTTATCAAAAGAAAATTACAATTAATCACCGAAAGAACTCGAGTCTCCAAAGAGCTCATTCTTTGTATTGAGAAACAGGTAAGAGAATCGTGTGGTGCAGTAGCACAGCTTTGTGCTTCCAATCAACAGGTCGAAGGTTAGATTCATAGGATGACCACTTATTCGTGTCCATCAGTTAAAATGAAATCAGAAGTTGTGAATGATGTTGATGCCTGTCAATTTATTCATCACCAGTAGTTTAATACTGGTCTTCGTCCTATAAAAGACCAGATTTTGTAGCAGGTTTTTCATGGTAGAGTAGGTGTTCATCCATGACCATAGAAACATCTTTAATTGCTCAACTTAAACTAATTTCCTGCAGCTTGGAGAGGTTTTTAAATGGAGGGAGACCTGGACCTTGATCTATTGTTGCTACTATTAATCTATATTGTTATATTGTTAACTGCTGTAAACATTTAAAAAAACCAATTGTTTTATGTTTTATTTCAGACAATTCGAGTTCTTGGGGAAGTTAATAATTTGATAGAGCCG